TAAACTAATTTGGGGGCTTTTGGGCTCAAAATACTGTCAAAATGAAGACAGAAGTAAGACGGATCCACTGTTATACGGCCGAAAAAGAGAAAACCAATGATACCAAAATTATCAACAATACAATTTCGCTTGGCTTTCAAAGACAGCCATAAATCGGTAGATTACTGTTGTTTAGCAATACATTTGACATCCGTATGAGCGATTTGTTAACAATACAATTTCGCTTGTCTTTCAAAGACAAAGATCATGTATAATCTTGCTTGAAATAATTGTCATAAGAAAGGAAAAAGGAATGATCCGAATAACTATCGACCAATATCAGTTATTTCAGCTGTAGCCAAAATCTTCGAAAAATTAATCTTTGAGCAACTTTATAATTACTTCAGTTCTAACAGCTTGTTAACGCATTGCCAGTCCGGTTTCAGGTCGTTACATAGTACACTTACTGCTCTTCTTGAATCCACTAGTAACTGGTCAGTTAATATTGACAATGGCCTCTTCAATGGAGTAATATTTATCGACCTTAAAAAAGCATTCGATACTATTGATCATCAGATATTGCTGCGGAAGCTTCGAATTTACGGTATGGATCAATTAAGTCTCGAATGGTTTCAGTCTTATTTGACCGGTCGATCTCAGAAATGTAATGTTAGAGGTTGCTTGTCATTATCTGCATCAGTTACACGTGGTGTACCACAGGGAAGTAACTTAGGACCATTACTCTTCCTTGTGTATATTAACGACCTTCCTAATTGTCTCAGTGCAGCAGTACCGAGAATGTTTGCTGATGATACGAACATTAGTTATGCGGCCAACACTATCGCCGAACTAGAAAATGTTATTAATTCGAAATTAAAAAATTGAAAAGCTGGTTGGAAGCGAACAAATTAAGCCTTAATATCGCCAAGACAGAATTTATGATAATAGGATCTCGACAACGTATGCATGCGCACACTAACGAAAATATCAATATTGACCTGGATGGTCATGTGATTAAACAAGTTGATGAGGCAAAATCACTAGGTGTAATTATTGATAAAAATCTGTCTTGGTCTAAACACATTGATATGAAGTGTAAAAATATTTCTTCCGCTATAGGTGCTCTTAAGCGAATAAAACCATTTATATCAACTGAAACAGCAATCCAAATTTACAACGCTATAATTCAACCTCACTTTGATTACTGTAGTCCCATTTGGGACGAATTTGGCGCAACATTATGTGAAAAAATGCAAAAATTGCAGAATAGAGCTTCTAGAGTGATTACGAAATCCAACTACGATGTCAGCTCTAGCATTCTCTTAGAGAAACTGCATTGGGACAATCTTTCCTTACGTAGAAAAAAGCACAAGTCTATACTAATGTTTAAAACTATCAATAAGCTAACGCCAGAGTATTTACAAAACATGTTTACATTTCGCAGCACAGATTATAACTTAAGAAATGCAGAAATGAAGCTAAATTTACCAAAACCACGTACGGACTTTATGAAGCGTAGTTTCTGCTACAGTGGAGCAAGTTTATGGAATGCGTTTCCTCAAACTGCACGTACGTCCAAATCATTGAGGCATTTCAAAAATGAAATTAATCAATTCTTGACATTATAATGGGATCCCCACACGGCAATCTTGGAAAACAGTGCATTTTAGTTAGGAAATTAGTGTGTATATAGTGATGTGTGAAATTTATTAATAGTTTTTGTATTTTATTCTACACTGAAGATTTTACCGTGTTTAAATAAATGTTCAATGTTCAATGTTCAATGTTCAATGTTCAATGTTGAACAATGTTGTGCTACCCACGTTGTTCACACTTGTCAACAATATTGAACAATATTGTTGAGCCTGAATCGGGTGTAACAATGTTGTTCAATTTTGCTGACAACTGTAAACAATCTAGGCAGCACAACATTGTTCAAGGTGGACTTCATGACTTAGATTCTGCACTTCACTTGGTGGAATTAATATTAGAATGTTAGGGTTTGGAATCCAAGTGAGAATATATACATTTTAAGACCTAACCAGGAACGACTGCGAAAAATGCAGCACAAGGTCCTCTGGTAGGAATTGATTCCTACCAGAGGACCTTGTGCTGCATTCCTACCAGTGGACCTTGTGCTGCATTTTTCGCAGTCGTTCCTGGTTAGGTCTTAAAATGTATATATTCTCACTTGGATTCCAAACCCTAACATTCCAACATTGTTCAACCCTGTTTACAACAATGTTGCAACAACCTGATCGTTTTTAGCCGTGTACTGAATGTGGAATTTTTGGTTTCTCTAGTTTCCATCAGTGGGGGATCTAACAAAATGGTATTACACGTTTCATCGTATATTGAAAGTGTGCACCAGCCTTTCACAATCACTATGATTAATGTATTTCCTAATCTTGCCAGTGTTTCTTAAAGATAAATATGATTTACACTAAACGTTATTCACATGACTCGTCATTTGGAGGAGATAATCCACAGTAACTCCAAGGTCACGCACATGGAGAAGTATATAAGGATGCGAGTCATCAGCGTAAATCATGCAGCTTAGGTCATTGGAAGCAACGACATCCTCCAAGGGCGCAAAGAAATGTGAGGACAGGATCGGACCCAGAAAAGTGCCCAGAAGAAGAGCCTTTTTTCGGTGGATGAAACGTCTTTAATTCTTATTGATTGGATATGATTCATAATTAGATATTAAGATTGTAACCATTTGAACACTGTGCCGTCGACTCTATAACAGTGACCAAGCCTGTCCAACAGCGTCGTATGATCAATGTCAATGGAAGGGAGATAGATCTAGAAGAACCAAAACTACATAACAATTTCTATTAATGGTCTATTGGCCTGGCATACAAGGCATCATTAAAAACATAAACTATCTCTTTTAGTATACTATAATACCTGCGTTGTGCAGATTGCTTCTAAGCAAGAAGAATGTTGTGTAGGCGCGGTAGCTTTGGAGGTCGCGCGGGGAACTTAATGTACTGTACATCGAATCGTCATCTTACAAAGTTTAAATTGTGTTTTTAGTCAGACACTTTTAAAATTGGATTTTAAGACAACCCTCCTGCATTCAAAAATGTACTTTTGAAATAGTTTTAGTGGTAAAGTTACTAGCACACCCAAAATACCTTTGCTTACATAAAGTTTTCACAAATCTTGCAAAATATCGAAGTTTAGCGAACATTATTTTTAATTAAATTATTCGCACAAATTCGGTTGAACTATACGAATTCCGCTCGCTGGTTCAACCACGCGGGTTGTATCTGGTTTTCCAATTTTCATTTATTTCAACAATCTATTACAATCAATCAAACTAACCAATTCTGCATACATTCAATACCACCTCTAAAACATTCATAAAACACTCTAACATAGCGCTCCAGCTTAACACTCTGACACTCTCCCTCTAACAATATTTTTGCAGTCATATTTAAAGTAAAACTAGCAACACATTTTTTTAGTTCTCACGTCATGTCTTACAAAAAAGTTAGTTCTATCTCTTAGACACGTTTAAGGATTGTCCTATTTTCATCCTATTTCAAGTTCTGAAACGTGCTGTATCTACATCGTACATCACTGATATTTATGGTTGCATCACGCCTTACTATAGCATTGACGTGCAATTTATGTAATTTGCCCACATCACGCCTTACTATAGAGATTCCTTAACAAACAATTCTGAACTGGGCAAATTTTATAAACGATGTATAGCTACAAATTACAACATTAAAAGAACTCATACAATTCTGGCATATGACAAAATTATAACTACGGCCTCGTTTGTGAAAGCCGCTTTGTGATATCATAGATTATCACACAAAGTAAAGTAAAACTCGAAGACTATAAGTGCAAACCAACTGAAAACAGTGTATTTCAAATTTAAATAGCTTCTGCGTGTGCGAAAACCCTTAAGTTAATGTCATTTTCTACCAAACTTGAAACGAATGAATTTTCGTACGAATTCGAATTCATCCTGTCTCGTGCGACCGTTGTCTATTTTCGAATCAAATATTTTCTACTGTGTATAACCTGACGTAATGAATATAATTTAATGTTGATGATATTGTTCATAACGCGTGCTTCAGTTATCTGACCTTCAGTATCTCAAATTACAAGTAGGAAAAGGACTCAATTTGTAGACATCATACTTTTCTTCACAGTTAACGACTTTAATGTTAGCCTATTTGACCAGTAACAACAATTACTCTGATAATGATGACAAACTTTCTGCACGACCTTGCCTTTGGAACTGGAGGATGAGCACCACTCATCCACCCATGAGCAGTTGTTCCACATCTGTGACCATTATAACACCATGTCAAAAGTTTGGTACAAGTTCCTCCTCCAAATCTGTACCATCCTTGATGTGGGAAAACTGCTGTCACAGTGTGTTACGTGTGGTAAATATTTCTCGTTTATATTGCTTTTATTTAGCCATGTGTATACAAAGCATCCCTTCGGTGTTTGTAAAAATTTGAATCGAAGAAATAGCTAGGTATATATAAATGAGACAAAAAACCAAATACAACCAATTGTTTCAATTTCCCCTGGAGTTTCGAAGGGAGTCGCAGGAAATGTTTATTCAATGCTAAACAAAACTGTACTAAATTTTAAGATGACATGTACTGTATTCTTTATTCTTAATACTGTATTGTTTAACATTTGAAGACGGATATGATAGGGTATGAAAACCACATTTTTATGTCTGTATCGCTTAAAATGCTCGCTAGCAATCGGTATCATGACGTCAAACGTGGAAGATTGGCGAGAATCCGATTTTGGTCGGTTTTTACAGCATGAGTTTGCAGCCTCACAACCTGTACCCTCACAACCAGTAACCAGGTTAAAAAGTACAAACAAACTGAAGAAAAGTGTATTTCAAATTTAAATTATTTGCTTTTACATGTGCAGACCCTTAAGTTAATAAAATTTTCTACCCTCATATAATGAATGGTTAGTTTGGAAAATTGTTCCAAGGCGAAAAACTGAAATAGATAGATTTTCTTACGACTTCAAATTCATCCTGTCTTGTGCAACCGTTGCTTACCCCTAAACCCTTATATTATATATTTTATTGCAAATAACCTGATATAATGAGTGCAATCTAATGTTAGTGCTATCGTTGTTCATAGCGCGTGGTTCAGTTATCTGCCCCACAGTATCTCAAATTACAACTAGGAGAAGGACTCAATTTGTAGACAAAATATTCCTCTCCACAGTTAGCGACTTCAATGTTATTTGACTTGAAACAACAATCACCGTGATACTCATAACAAACTTTCCGTGAGACCTTGCCTTCAGCAATTGTAGGGTGAGCACCACTCATCCACCCATGCGCAGTGGTTCCACATCTGGCACCATTATAACATTTTATCGAAAGTTTGATCCCAGCTCCTCCTCCAAATCTGTACCATCCTGTGGAAAGACTGCTGTCACAGTGGTATAGGCGTGGTAAATACTTCGCGTTTCTGTTGCTTTCATTGAGCCAGGTATATTCGAAACATTCCTTCGGTGCCTATAAACATTTGAATTGAAGAAATACTAGGCAGTGAACAAAATACGAAGCGCAGGTTAGCTACGCGTACATTGCAGAAAAGTTATTGGAATATGTTTGTTCCTGGAAATTTCAAAAGGAATCCTGGGGAAATTTTGATTCGATGCTATAAACAGAACTGTACTGTATTACCTTACATCAAATCAAGTGAATAAAATATTGTTGTGTTTACAAGTTTTAGAATCTAATAACTACGATCAACCCTAGGAAGCAATTTTGTATTGGGGAGGGGGGGTGATTAGTCAGGGTCGATTCAGTAGTTCATTATTTTTCTCTCAAACTTCACAGATTATCGCAAGTTTACAAATTATTGGGGGGGGAGGGGTTAAATCCCCCCCTCCCCCCCCCCGGTTTCAACAGCCCTGCTAAAATTTACATTACGATAAAAGGTAAGAAATTTGTATAAAGTTTAATTTAACAAGGTAAGCCATCTACGTATGAAAGCCATATTAGCATGTGCCAATCAATATTATACACTGTATCATTCAAAATGCCAGCTATTTATTGCTGCCGCAGCGAGCGAGCCTGAAGCGAGCGAGCAAGGCAGCAGATCCTAATTTTGTTTTGTGGGTCGAAATCAAAATTTTCTATTTGGCGCATTGCATGACGGTACCAGTGAATTTTAACCGTGGTGCAGCGCGGTCAGGCATAAGGCAAACAGGCAATGTGATCATGTTTCATCTTTGGTCTTCTTTTATGGAAAGCCATAGCTGGCTTAAAGTGATCAAACGGCATTTTGCTGGGTGCTTTTAGCATTATACGGCGGTGCTTTTGGCATTATACACGGTGCTTTTGCCATTATACGCGGTGGTTGCAGTATTATACGCGGTGCTTTCACCATTTATATACGCGATGCTTTTGCAATTATACGCAGTGGTTCGAGCACTATATGCTGTGCTTTTAATATTATACGCGATGCTAGCTTTCATTCAACATTATTTCCATATTCTTTCCATGACATGTATATGATTTAACGATCGCTTAAATTTGGTATGTGCATGGTTGACAAATGCTTTTTGCCTATGGTCTGCAAGGACAATCCTGACATGCTTTTCTGTGTATATACATGTAAATGAATATAACGCAGCGAATGCGCCAAACAGTATAAACGCGGCTGAAATTTAAAATCTTAAATGTGCCGTATGATTTAATTATGTTTTAGGATTTACAAATGCTTTGTCATTTGTATTTATACTTGTACTGCATCACAAGGCAGTACGTACTGTAAGTGAAAAAACTCCACATGTGAGATTGTCTTGTATATATTTTTGCTTTCTTTGATAAACACTATTAATAAACACGCAAATTTTAATTAGTGAGACGCAATGCTAAATGTCACCTGCATGTCATTGTCATTGCCCTTTAACCCCTGGTCCAATTGGCCGCTTTTGAAAATATTGATCATGACGAACCGCACTGCCTTAATTAAATGCAAACTTTGTGTTTTAAAAACGGGTTAGGATAAAACGCGGATACGGACGGACGGATGAATGACGGACGGATGACATATATATGTCGTTATATAGTCTGCGCGCAGCCGCGCAGGGTAGTTAGTGCCTTACGTCTTCGCTGGTTGTTATACTTTAAAATAATTTTGTATGTACCGAGAAATAAATATTCCGAGTATATAAATATATAAACTGGGATGTCACACTGATAGCTTGTTTACATTTCCTGGAGCATCATGAAATCTTATGTTTAACCACAGTAGTTTAACCCATTAGCTGGCAATGCGCCCTTCCCTTGTCGAGCGCCAGAAGATTTTACTCGTCAGTGGTATAGGGTACTGCCAGTAAATGGGTTAACAAACCTATCTGCCAATGGCTCTTGTTCATTCATCAGCACAGTAATGACCCCTACTTTAGTATTTACCCTGTCCAACGCCAGACGATTTTTAATACTCAGTCAGTGGTAGGGTACTGTCAATATATGGGTTAACAAGGATAACAATAATTAGCCTGCATGGCAGGCGGTATTTCCCAGGCTTGCCCAATTTTAGGAACCGCCTGCCATGCAGGCTAAACAATAATAGGATGTTTCTGAAGGACTCGTTCAACACCCTGTAGTTTTTCTTTTGCTGTCAAAGGCAGCATTACTGCCCTGTGGGTAACCTAGTATAATACATATGATGTCAAAAGTGGAGACTGGCGAGAATCCAATTTGTTAAGTGTGAGCTGAAGCGTACAGTATTGAAATAGAAAATTGTGGTGAACATGATCAGTACTGTCCCTTTACAGGACGACATGATTATTGCACGGGTGTAAAAAGCCGAGCGGAAATAGCATCCTCAATAGTATACTTAAATTTTAATATTTTAAAAGCTATTTATTTTCTTACCACGAACCCAGCAAGCAATAATTCAGATTGACCCACATGGAGCTTGCTTTTCTCCGTCAGGGACATTAAACATAGCTAGTATCGCTGTATATTTTTGACAGCATAAGTTCGCAGGCTCACAACCACTGTCAGTGTCCTGTCATTATGCAAGAAATTATCATGCTTTACTAACTTACATACCAACAATTCTGCTCACGAAACGTTGAAGCTAATGATATATAATCATAATGTTTGCCCGCAGACGCAGGTATAAAAAGTATCGCCCTGGGCTATTGTCCTGGACCGTGCTATACCAATCGCATGTGGAAACTGAATGATCTTTAATAGCACTGGAAAATCAATTTCAAGTACTTAAAAAGCTACAGAATGGTCGGTCTGGTTTGTTTTGCCAATAATTTAAAGAGTCTGCTAAAATTAAGAAAACATTAATGTTCTGCATACCGCAACACGTAACAGCGTCCAACTTCCGTTCTTTGTTTTGCTGTTCTCTTTAGTGCTGTTAGTAAGTTGGCAATTTTCATCAGTATTTCGTGTTCTGAAGTTAAATCCAACACATTTCGGTTCGTTGGAACAGAGAAAAGCGCATATTATTTCGACAGGGTGTTCGACACTGTGGCTAGATATGATGTCTTGTTTCGGAAAAGGTGGATGTCCTAAATAGAAAAAGAAAAAGTTCTTGATTTTAAATCTCGCAATTTTTCACGCCGCTATATATGAAGTAGAATGGAAGACATATATCGAGGCTCTGCAATAGGATCCCAATTTTCGAATCCCACGTTAGTCGTATGTGAATTTATTAAAATGTCTCATTCTACATTGAAATTGTTTCACTTTGTTCATTTTCAGACGGTTATTAAATTGTGTTGTACTTTGAAATATCCACGTCAAATATCTTGTCAGTGATATCATATTGGAAAAGCATGCACGCAGTAGGTTTGATTCTCGCCGAAAGCCTTTTTATTTGACGAGTATGTGGCCATTTCTCATCGTTATGATTTAAAACGAGTATCATTGAAACGCTAAATAACTGTTCTTTCGTCCTATGTAAAAATTGAATTGTTTAGCCACGTTTTGATGCATGACAGCCTGTTGAATTTCCATAGCGCTTTTTTTAGACAGGTCTGGTTTGCCGTTGTAAAAGCCCTAACACAACCTCTCTAACTCCCGTGGGGCTTTTAACGATTCATTTCTTTTGTACGAGGTCAGGAATATCATTGTGTGAATAGCCGTCGTCGTCGCCTTGCCGTCCTGTTTGCTCAAGGTCCGTTTTGTCAACAACGACGACGTTTTCGACCCAGACTTTGCACAATATTTTTGACGTACTCTTGACGTTTGCGTCCTCGTTCTAAATATGTCTAATGTTTCACTGAATCGAACAGTGGTATTTTGGTCTTCATAGTATGCACTCAAGCAAAGGTACGACTTTGGAAGTTATCGATCTTGGGAGATCGATTTTTACAAGTGTGACTGACGAAGGGCAGAGATTCCAACCACTCGAGGCAAAAATTAGGGAGACTGCTCAGTGAGTTGAAATCTAATTCTTATGGGGGAAAATGATAAAAAACCTCAAAAGTCTTGGGGGGGGGGGCAAAATATGATTTCGTGGGGGGAGCACACGGGTGGACTGGATGGCATTTGCCCCCCAGCTTGTATGTTAAAAAAGGCCCTGAAGCATCGGTAACGTTAAAATGAACGTTTTAAAAGGGGAATAAAATATGCAAAATATGATTTCTCGGAGATAGTTTTGCAAGCAAGGTGAATGTAGCCAAGTCAAGTAAGCAACTGAACGACATGAACTTATTTCACTAATGAAGATGCAGTATCGTGCAGGTACTTGTCAGGTACACACGTAAAAACGCACACGTTGTAACAAACTTGCAGAAAACTTATAGCAATGTTGTTCTAACAACTCGTCAACAGGATGTGTTCGCACTGCTTGTTCCCAGCTTGTTGACAAGTTGTCAACAGCTTTGTTGACAACTTGCTACAAGGTTGTTGAGCTCAACAGCCTTGTTACAAGTTGTTCCAACAACTTGTTATCGTCCTGCAATTCAACAACCTGTCGACATGTTGTGAATGACAACCTTGTAGCAACTTGATAAAACAACAGCATTGTTACAACTTGTTGACAAGCTTGCTACAGGCCTGTTGCGAACACATCTCGTTGACAAGTTGTGAAATTTTTACGTGTGTAGCTGTGTTTGAAAAATTCGCGCTAAAAATACACTCCGTCACGTTATCATCTTGTTAATACTTGATGTAGTACACATTTTTGATTAAGTGATCACATGACAACAAGCACTTGCCTACATTTCTCAAGAAGACATTTTACAACAAACCATTTTGATTTCGATTTTTTATACCTTTTCAAAACTTATTGAACTGTTGCATGGTTTGTTAAACTACTTCACATTTTGGTGAAGCGATGGACTAATTGACTTATTTTACTATGCATTTATATTAATCCGCTTGAAATATGCTGATCCATCCATTTATGATTAGCATATGCTATTTAATTGCCGGAGAATGGCGGAGATTAAACTGTTTCAGTTCTGGTTGAACCAATCGTACTTTTATTGGGCTATTTCACATTTTGCTGTGCCATTTTACACTACATTATTTCTGGTGGTAACGGCCGCCCATACTGTTAAGTGTGTCCAAACGCTTGTGTCCACATGCCTAAATGGCGTCTTTAATTAGTAGTCTTAGACAAATTTAAACTTCTAATATAAATACGATACAACGAAACAGCGGCGGCGGAACATATTTTACTTTGGAGGGGGCTAAATTTTTTTTTCGTGATTAAAATTTCCTCCCTCCCCCGTCACCACTTTTTTTCGGACTAAACCAAAAAATATTTCCGGACATATACAAAAAAATTTCCCGGACCGACAATTTTTTAAACAAAATATTGCATGCAAATTTTCCGCCTTATACCTAAATTTTCCAAAAATACCCTAAATTTTTCCTTAGTTATCTAAATTTTTCCAGAAAAAACAAAATTTTTGGGGGGTTAAGCCCCCACTGTTACTTCTGGGGGGCTAAAGCCCCCAAGCCTCCTCTGTTCCGCCGCCACTGCAACGAAACTTGGACGCAGGTAGCAAAGAAACACTGTAGATTGTTGTCAAATAAAAAACATTTAGTATATTTTTTGGTTTCATTCTCAGAAAAAAGCAACCTATAAACGGCTCTCAATTTCACAATTCCGTTCATGTCATCAAATTTTTGAAACGATTTCCTAAAGATAATTTTCCAAAGCAAGCGGTGTTTGTTTTAGCGCATTAAAAATAGCTTGCGCGCAAAATTTAAACGTTTAAATCGCATGTTCAGTTCACGGGGAGAAATTTGTTATGTGTTAGTTTATTAATGGTCCAAATATCAAAACAATTTGCTCAATTTTAAGTCCTTTAAATAGCGCCGGAACTTTAATTTTTTGCACCAATGCCTTTCACGCATGATTAATTCATGCATTTACCTAATATGCATATTGTTATTCTACTTTTTGTGCAATAACAATATGCAAATTTTTATTTATTCTATACATTATAAGTACCCAAACAATTTATATTTGTCAAAAATGTCATGCTATGAACGGATTTTTGAAATTGACTGCTTTTTCTGATACACCTTGTATATTGCTAGTTCCCATAATTTACTGTATATATCTCGTGTTTATATTGAGGCTAGATTGCACGCGCTTTTTTTTTTGCGCCGGCAACGCAACTCGTTAAATTTTGCGCAGTAACGCATGCATGTGCAATTGTAACTCTTTAATGCCTTATTCAGCAATCGTTGCCAAAAGTTAAAATGATTTAACTAATTACAACTGATTATATTTAGTCAACCAGCCAATGAAAATCGCTTTACTTGACAAGTGGACAGGCTATTTGGAAGACAAATTCAGTGCCGTGGACTAAAGTAAAAGGTATGTATCCAAGATTGCCCACTACTAGTGCCAATCGATACATGCCGAAATAAGCTATCATTGCTAAAACGTTACAAATCATACACTTTAAAAACATATTAGCCAGGATCACCAGGCAGTCTATTGACAAACATAATACTTTTGTTTGTTTCTATCCATAACAACACACTTCACATTGATCAAACTTTTAAACTAATGCCTAAAATTAAGAGCGCTAAATTTTGACAGGAAATTATCAATTTAGCCTCGATAGTAAAACTGGCAAAAACCTAAACTGTGATATAAATATTAAAGCACTATCTATTGTAACTCTAATGCCAAAAGTGAACGCTTTTACATGTAGATAAAAAAATCCTGGGTATCGGACAGCTGAATGCTAAATTCATTTTTTACCAGCTACGACCTTTTCAATTATACAAAATTTGTTAATGACACTTGGAAACATAAATTGCTGTCTAATGCCCTTACGAAGTAAGAACTCGTAAGTTTTCCATGTTCACAACCGCCGACTTTGACTACTATTCGTTTGTATATCAATTAACTGCTTTTATTTTTGTTGTTTATTTGTCATATAATTATGCTAAGGATAATTAAAAACGTTACATCGCAAATTAACTCTCGTAAATGAAAGAAAATGAAATCAATCTTTTTACAACGCACAACAATTAGCCTGATTTCGAATAATTCTCGCAAAAATATTCATTCATATCCATAATTTCTTCGTTCACTATTTCTTCTTAAAATAAAAATAATAAGGTCTTCTGAAATGGAATTCCCGCATTTTGGGAATAAAGTAACTTCATAAAAAGGTCAAGACAGACTAACGTTCCTAAAAAACAGTGTGTTAATTTATGATTTTTTACGATATTTTCCGAATATTCTAAAAATATGGGTGAATTTGATAAAAATCAGAAAATTGCATGAATTTTCGGAAGACCCCGGAAAAATCGGAAGAGTTGGAATGTCTGGAAAGAATAATCTATTATATACTTTTGAATGCCAAGTTCCAAAATAACCATATATCCGAATTCTATACACTTCTATATGCACATGCAGACTTATTATATGCGCTTTATCTACATCATCTATATCATGCAGGCGACTCAGGTTCATCCGACATTTCAAATGTCCATTGGTCCACTGGACAAACCTCAAATGTCCATATCCACTACAGTCCAGTGGACAAATGAAATGTCCATTGGACTTTTAAATTCTATATTTAGTATTTTTATGCAATAAAAGCAGTACTCACCACTGCTGATGATCCTGTAATACATTGTGGAACAATACTTTGCATTAATGCTTGCAATTATAAGCATCAGTAACGTTGAAATGGACATTTTAAACAAAGATTAAATACGCCAAATATGCTTTTTCGGCGGAGATACTCATGCACGCAAAGTGAATGTAGTATCAATTAGTAATTAATTAGCAACTGGATCAGACGACATATATAGGCTCATTTCGTTAATGAAGATGCAACATCATGCAGGTATTTGTCAGGTAACTGTGTTGGAAAGATTCGCGCTAAGTATATATATGCACTCCGCCACGCTCTCATCCTATTAATACTTAATGTAGGACAAAATGAAAGTAAAATATTTTTCTATGCATTTACATTAATCCGCTTAAAAAAATATTTTGATCATTTTATGATTATCCGTATTCCATTTAGTTGCCGGAGATTAAACTTCTTGAGTGTTAGTTGAATCATCGTACTTTTATTGAGTTATTTCACATTTTGCTGTGTCATTTTACTACTACAATATTTTTGGTGGTAGCGGCAGCCTATACTGTTAAATGTAACTGTGGTCCGAACGCAGTGGCGCCGTGGGACCCATGTTTTTGGGGGCCGGGGCCAATAGCCGTACTTTTCCGACAAACCTGAAAATATTTTCTGACCGAAATTTTTTTGGCGTCCCCACCCCCGTCGCCAAAAAAATTTCGGTCAGTGTACTATTTTAGGGGTCAAAAAATTTTTCCGGACTTACCAAATTTTTTCGTTGCATCTTAAAATTTTTCCGCACATCACCCATTTTCTCCATTTATCAAAAAATTTCCGAATTTACCAATGTCGGAAACTTTGACAATTTCCGACAACGTTGTCAATTTTCCAAAAATTTCCGACAACATTCACAATTTTCCGACGGGTCTCCACAATAGGGCCCCCTCCCCCCCGGCCACGGCGCCACTGTCAGAACGACGCACTTAACTGACGTCTAAGTAGTCTTAAACCAGTTAAACGTCTAATATAACTATGAGACGACGAAACTTGGACGCACGTAGCAAAGAAACACTGTAGATTGTTGTCAAATCAAAAATATTTCATATAGATTTTTTGATTTCATTCTACAGGGTGTATCAGAAAAAGTAGACATGCAATTTGTAAAGTTAAACGACTCTCAATTTCACAAATCCGTTCATGTCATGAAATTTTTTATAAATATGCATTGTTTGGGTACTTGCAATGTAGAACAAACAAAACGATTTCGTAAAGGTAAATTTTCCAGAGAAGGGTGTCTGTTTTAGCAGCATTAAAAATAGCTTGCGCCGTTGCGCGCAAAATTTAATTGCATGAAAGGTTAAAACATATTTTGAGTTCGTGGGCGAGAATTATTTTGTTATGTGTTTTAATGCTCCAAATATAAGAATTAAAATTTCCTCCTTTGAATAGCAGCTGAAACTTTCATTTCTTGCCACCAATGCCTTTCACGCATGTTTAATTCATGCTTTTATCTAATTTGCCTATTGTTATTTCCCTTCTTTTACAATAACTATATATGCAAATTTTCATTTATTCTACATTCAATGATTTTCTCATCTAGCTGGGCCAAGCCAGAGTTTTGCAAATTAAGGCTAAGTTGACGATTTCTAGACAAAATTGAGCACATAATTTTAGACACTATATATAGTTTAAAAGTTTGATCACTGTGAAGTGTGTTGTGATGGATAGAAACAAAAGTATTATGTTGTCAATAGACTGCCTGGAGATCCTAAAGGTGTATTATTTGTAAGGTGTTAGTAATAACAGCTGATTTCGGCATGTATCTATAGTAGCGGGCAAACGCCCCGTGGAGACATACCTTTTACTATAGAGCACGCGTACGGTACGGCGAATTTGTCGTTCCTATAATAGCCAATCCACTTGTCAAGTGAAGCGATTTTCATTGGCTGGTTGACTAAATAATTATAATCAGTTGTAATTAGTTAAATCATTTTAAATTTCGGCAACGATTGCTGAATAAGGCATTTTAATGCATTTTAACTCTTAAAAGAGTTACAATTGCGCATGCATGCGTTGCTGCGCAAAATTTAACGAGTTGCGTTGCCAGTCCAAGAAAAAAATGCCCGTGTAATCCAGCCGCTTAATATAAACACGAGATGGACAGTAAGTTGGGAACTAGAAATAGACAGGGTGTATCAGAAAAAAGCCAATTTAAAAAATCCTGGGTATCGGACAGCTGAATGCTAAATTCATTTATCAGCAGGTATTATCTTTTTAATTGTGTGCAAAATGTGTAATGACACTCGGTACGTAAGCAGTGCTGTCTAATCCCCTTACGAAGTAACAACTGATACGTTTGCCATGTTCACAACCGCCGATTCTGGCTATTATTCTTTTATATATTAACTGTTTTTAGTTTTAAAGATAAAATGTTACATCGCGAATTTATTTCTTTGTAAAAGAAGAGAAGTAAAATTAACCTTTTTACAACACACAATTAACCTAACGAACACCTTCTCGGAAAGGTATTCATTTACTTCTATAGATTTTTCTTTTTCTTCGATACATCACGACTGGGTGCCCCTGTGGGACAGAAACTTTAAACGCATTAAGCGGCATGGCTGATTAACAGTTTAGCAGGCACTGTTGCGAACACTTTGCAGCAGAGACATGGTCTTTTTTTATAGGTTTTCACTTTTTATACAAATATACACGGCAGAAATATTGATAAAATATGTTGTCAAAATCGTCAAAGTTTTTCGATCACACAAGAACATGCATGACCAAAATTATTAGCATAAATTAACATAGCATCCTGTCTCAATTTCAAAGTGTGAAAACAGGTACTGTGAATATTGTCTCCTTTGTATTCACCAAAAAGCATCTTAACTTTTCATACGATGTGTTTAGACAGATACTCGATTTCACTAATATGACTATCGTACAAAACATTCCACACCATTAGGTCTTATATGAAGTCTAAATTAAAGATAGGGCACAGTCCGATCTGCGCATGTGCACATAGGAGTTTCCTGCCGTGATGTAAACACTTTAATTAGTTTTATATTTCATTTTATGTTCTTGCAAAGTCTGATTATTGTATCTTGATCGTTTATTATACTGTAGAAGAATGAAAATATAAATAGTTGTCGAATAAAGTTCAATATTTTGAATACCGAAATGTAAACAAAGGCTTTGTTTACATACGGACTGTACCCTACCTTTAAACGTTTTGAAAAGGTGTCCCTAAACTACCGTTTATATATTTATTTTTTTCACGTTGAAAAAATTCATTTAAAATTAGTTTCCACTCTGCAAGTTGTTCATGGTTGTGAAATTTAATATTTTCTTTCCTTGTTACCTCTCTCTCTCTCTCTTAGTGATTCTATGCTTTTCGAAATTTCCTCTGTTTTAAACGTGCTTCTCTACTCACCACATCAGCCTCGCCCCACTTGATATCTTTGTGGCATTCCATAATGTGACATGTCCATAAAATCCATCTTGCTTTCCCATTCGCTTTTCTGCTGCTGATGTATTATTACCTTTTCTTACACCTTCGCCTTTCAGTTCTTAACCATCTTACCCTTCCCCCAGTCAAAGTCCCCTTTAGCTAAAATATATAAGCAAAACATTGCAAAAAATGAAATTAGTTTTGATATTCTAGTACGGGGCCATTCACAAAGGATGTCCGGCCAAATGATGGATTTTCAGACCCTCCCCCCCCCTTGTCCGGCATTGTCCGAATTAGTGACACCCCCTCCCCCCGGACATCCGCCATGCCTCGCAAAAACTCACGCAACCTTGTATATATCAAGAGTAAAAAACGTTTTTACTTTTAGAACTTTTTTATAACTGTAAATGTGAACACAAAAACATATAAATTACTAATTAAAACAAAATCTAGTGTTAACCCGCATAGTCAAAATGCCAATTTCACAATGGGAAGGACTGCTCAAAATAGAGGGAAAAAGAAATTTGTTTTTGAATGTTTTTAAATTTCGGACATCCGGATTGCTAAAACCCCCCTCTCCCCCCCTATGTCCGAGTTTGTCCTGATTTTCCAAACCCCCCTCCCCCCATCGGCTCGGACATCCTTTGTGAATGGCCCCTAAGTGAAATTTGCTTTGTGATACTTAATATGTCATATTTTTTATCTTAAAATATTTCAATGTCTTTTTAAAAATGCGAAACTTAACATTGTGTAAATATCCTAGGTTTTAAAATTTCTATAGCATATCCCAGACCAGATAGATTGTTAAAAGGTTGCGCTAAACACGTTGATATATCGACCGAGCTGTGGTATTTGCAAAAACATACCATGCAAGTACATAACTGGAGATTCAGTCTATCTACAGTATAATGTAACCATAGATATAGGAGATCTAGATTGCTAACGCATACCTAGCGCAGGCGGGGCCTACATGATAAATCCAAGATGGCGGTACAACAGGGCAAAAAGACTATAGATTCTATTACGAAAATCAGGATTTTTGCATTTTTTGCCGTCGCATTGTTTCGAAACTTATTCGGTCAAGCTTTATGGTAAAGAGAAATTTACCGCGAAGATTTTGAGCATATATATAACTGAATTGGATGAAAAATCGCAAAATTATCCATCGATAAAAGTTCGTGTATAGTACTGATATAGTACTATATATGTAACTTGTACAGTTTTGCTTTAATTTTTGCTCACTATTTGCATAAAAAGCAAATTATAACAGACCATAGATGATAGACCCTCACCCAGCGCTCTCACAAGTTTACTTCTCTAACAAGCAAGGAGGGGGGGGGGTGGGGGGGGGGGGGTACATAACAGTTCATTTTTCATAATTATGAGGACAGAGCAGATGCATGATGATGAGAGATGGAAGCATAAAACACCATTCACTAGGCTAGATGTTAACATAGCACAGTATTTCTGTCAATAAATCGCTCCAACTGACCATTTCACACGAACTTTTATCGACTGGATAATTTTGCGATTTTTCATCCAATTCAATCATATATATCCTCAAAATCTTCTTGGATTTATCATGTAGGCCCCGCCTGCGCTAGGTATGCGTTAGCAATCTAGATCTCCTATATCTATGAATGTAACGCTGTAGAAGTAATGTGCAAGTTACGTCACCGTCGCCATGTTGGATGACATTCACAAAGGATTTTGCTTGTTTGCAATGCAAATATCATCAAACATTGCTAAAATCTCTTTTTCCTTTCAATCCCATGAAAGTGGTTGCACATCACCTTTTCCGAAAAATCTCTTTCGGAAAACGAACGAAATGCAGTTCGAGGGTGGGGTAATACAAACATTTTCTGTGGGGAGAATGCCACCAGACCTCAGACCACCAACTATAACATACGACACCGCACCGCACAATTTTTTTACCAACTACTATCCGTCATCTTTCCACACTCAGTATAGTATGGTCCCTTTTTGTAGATGCCCTCCCTCCCCCCACACACACTAATGAATTGTCAAAAAGAGGCCCTGTCTTCGTTCGTCAGTCTAACATTGCTTTCATATTCATTCTTTCTGGTTTGGAATTGCCGCCTTGTTTCTCCAACTATAATTAAGGATTGACAACTATAGAGATTATTAAAGAATAGTGTGGGCATTGCGGATTTGCGGTGAAGGTTCAGGCATAAACGAAAGGAACAAATTGTAGCTTGCCGATTGTGGCAACTTTGAGTTACAGCCGGATGTAAAACCAAAGAAGAGATAGTTTTTCGTCTTTTGCTACAATTGTATTCAATTGTATTCTTTTTGCTACAAGTATTCAATCCTGGTTTTATCCACATTCCTGAATGTTTTACATTTATCTGTGGCGAAAATTTTTGTGGTGAAAAATTGATCGTATCGTAGAAAATGATAAAAATTTGGACGTGGCGAAGTCACGAAGTAAACACCGCTGTCCAGGCACATTCTACCACAGGGAGCCCATCCCGGGTCTTATCGAAGTTATGTATTAGAATTACGTATGAAATATATAGCTCTCAGTGTTGAAGCCTGCGACTTGCGGGCTGTGTGCGGGCTATCGCGCGCGTTGAATACACTATTTTTATAGTGTATTCAACGCGCGCGTTAGCCTGCACACAGCCTTCAACTCGCAAGCTTCAACACTGAGCTATATATTTCATACGTAATTCAAATACATAACTTCGATAAGACCCGGGATGGGCTCCCTGTGATTCTACCGATCCAAAACATGTTTTGAATTGAAGCCCAGGTATTCTTATTCGTTTCGGGCTTTTGGTCCTTACTCGAGCTATATTTCGACTGGAAGTATCGATTTCTCCATAGAAACTGGAAAGTATCGGGTTGTGCCACTCTCGGTTGGCACTCCGTCTTGCGTGGGTATCCCCCTCCGTAACCGCCCTCATAGTGCGTTATTCAAATAGCGTAAAACATTGTCTAAGGATAGTGGTGCACGGATCAAAAACATCCGTGGAACTTATTTTCGAATTTTCCCGCTTCTCCTAAACATCGCGGCTTTGCATCCGGGAATGAGCATTTACATTCGGGCAACGAGATTTTAGCCAATTAAAGAGTGTTATTTGCCCGTTTAGGAAGTTTCAATTTGTCCCTCGATTTTTCCCCCAATGCCCACTCTATTTTTTTATAATCTCTATGGTCTGGGTGCCCTCTACTTCTATATTGGACAGCCCTGCATACACGCAGTAAGTACTTACACGCAGCTTGCATCAACAAGTTTATTTAATCCTATAACGGAGAGACCCCGCCATCTAACTGATACAAATTTTGATCAGCAAATTTAGCATTGATGAAGTCATTTATTATACTGAGCAAATTTTTAACAATTTTAAATAATAACCTATAATTATTCTTAAGCATGCTATGTGTATACGTTGTTACAAACTCGACGACCTGCTGCCATCACCAATAAATACAACATTTAGAGCTCTAAATCGCAATTATTAAGAACAAATTTTCCCCATAGAAATAGATTAACATTTTCTAATATATAATTAATATGCATATATATAACTTTAAAATTTCTAATTTAAAGGACAATGCCCTCAATATAACATATTTCAACATCAAATTCGTGAAGCCTATGCATTCTTCAAAATGTCCATTTTTGGTATGAGCTGACCCAGGCTGTTGGATGGACCCAATCCGGAAGTTTATCGACAAAATGATTCATAAACGTAGATTTGGAATCTTTGCCATGGCTATAGTGACCAGCTAATGCAACATCAATGAGATCATCTGTAGTACTCAGAGACTGGAAATATCAAAGATGTTTAATATTAATATTAAAGATGTGCTTTAGCTTTGCTGGGTTGATTTTGTGTACTGTAACTCCTCTATTAACCCCCCCCCCCCTTGGGTGGATTGACTAAATTTTTTGAGCAATCGAAAGCAACTCAAGCAATTGAAAGCATCTGGCCTGGCTAAAGGAAATACGATGGAAACCGTGTATGCTCAGGTTGATTCTGGAGAAAACGTGTTTTTCACCAGGAATCAAACCCGGGTTCTTCGAAATACTTCATTATACAAAATACTGAAAATTTTTATACAGGGCAGGGGTTGGGTAAGGGCAAGGGTTAGGACTTTAATAAGTTTATAGGCCAGGGTATGCGGACAAATATGATATCTTCATTTGGCTGGGATACTCTCGGTACAAATCTTCTATCAGCTACAACACGTTTACAGTGCCAAACAGTAAAATATCTCGTTTCATTGCAAGGATTTTGATTTACGCAGAAAACTCTATCAAGTGCGAGATTCTTCCGAGAACTCTGTAGGTAAGAGGTTCCATGCATGGTTTTAGCATGAGTACCAGCCGGTGTCTCAGGAAATTCGCCCCCCCCCAATCAATTTCGCTCCCCCAATCAATTTCGCTCCCCCGGGAGTTGAACTTCCCGTGAATATCGCACTTCCGAGGGGCGAATTTTCTAGGAATACCCCCTCCCCTCTTTAGAAATTTTGCCCTAATTTAGAAATTTTGTTTTGTCGCGCGGTGGAAAGAGGTCAGAATATACAACAACATAGAAGAACTTACCTCAAGTTCTACCCAAAAGTACCAAGGACCAGTATATATTCCATGAGAATAATACACAAAATATTGGGGTGGAGTAGTAGTTTCCGCGGTCTCACGGAAAAATGACCTCTCGTGCAGCTCACCCAAAGATGAGTCAACGACTTCAACACCAGATTTTGGAGATAAGTACAAAGACATGTGCGATGGACCTGAAATAATTTAACAAAAGAGACGTGTACAAAATATATTAACATATGGCAGAATATTCGGATTTCTGTACTATTCCGAAAGCCATGTTCAGTATTTACAGCTGATTCAAGATTTTTGGACGATTCCGCGAAATCGAGGAATTCCAGAATGCCTGACCAAAGGAGCAGGTGCGCCATTGAAAATTCGCTTGCGAAAGCTTGCACCATACAAAGTTTTAACATCATATAACCACACTTACCGTTTAGCTCGAACTTTAGCTTCATAGTGCTTCCTCTTTTACCACTTTCCTTCGACAGTAACTTCAAAGTTGCTAAAGTTGATAGTTCAGGAACCGGGCCTGGAATATACCACGTCTTACTAGAGAAAAATGTTAGAGAAAGAACGAGGCATGTTAGGGTTCTAAACCCTTAAATAGCCAAAGTAACTGGTCATGTTATGCTAATAAACAGCAATTACATGGCCTATCGCTCTCCAACTTTTCTAGCCGTTTTATTTAATTTTATTTAAAAATATATATATTTTAATGTATGTTTGTGCATGTTCATTATAGTTTGTTGGAGTTTTTATTATACAGCTGATTTAATTAAGGTTGTCCTTCCAAAACCTTAAACTCTGAGCGCGCAAGGGATGATGGGTTTTCACCTATTTGGCCCTTAAACTCAGAGAATTGCCTTTGCAGGAAGTATGTTTTCTGTCGTAAGTCTTCTATATGTCTTAGGTATTCTTGCAAAGCCAAATTTCAAAGTTTATGTGTCTAAATAAGCAATAACCCAGCATTCCTTGCGCGCTCAGAGTTCAAGATTTACGCTTTTGGAAGGACAACCTTAATTGAAATAGCTGTATATTGCTTATCTGTAAGTTGTCTTCCTGGGAAATCATACCACCTAAAGGAAAAGCTAGCCATAGCAACTAGACATGCATGACCAGTTTACAACGATCAGTCGATTTAGTTTTGATCTAGCAACGATCAGTTTACAACTAGATATGTTTTGCAAGTTCCTGAAAGAAATGTATTGGCTTTTATGGAACAACCGTCACGTTACCAACATAGCCTAAGTGGCTAACTTTAGATTCAAAATGTGCGCTTCAGCACTTAGTTAACTCATTAAGTTGCAATGCGTCCTAATGCTCCCTACTTGATTTACTTTACTCTATCTAACGCCAGACGATTTCACTCGTTAAAAGGAGAACGCTGGTGGTCAATGAATTAAATTAAGAATTCAAGACATACTCCAAAATCCTGTGGAGCTACATTAGTTATATCTCGAATCTTGCTTATCGGTGTCAGACACTTACTCGAACATAAAACTGACTGGCATATAGTATGGAAAATCACCAAATAATCCTTGATCCATATCAGGAATTTGAGCGTCTTTGAATTCTGGTAAATGGTGGACATGATTTATGCCAAGGTAGTCGAAAGGAACGACCCATAAACCTGCATCTCTGTGGCTTACTCCACCGGATCTATCATAGAATGTTCGTGACATGTGCTGAAAAATGCAATTATATTGCTTAGAAACATTACAGAAAGAATTAAATGTAACAAGGAACGTGTAGCAAAGTTGCAACACTGTTTAAATAAATTGTTCAGAACGACTACGATCTGGTATATCTTTCAAAAAGTTGGTAGTCGACTATTGTCTTCCACCAGTGGTCCGAAGCAGCCCGGCGCGAGGGTACTAATTCCACCCGGCTATTTACCATGCGAAATTGTGAAAAATAGGACATGTTTGCTTTGGATGTTTAATATTTATGAATTTTGTTGCTTGTCTGGAACTGACAGATAAGATTATTATCATAGATAAATTTCTTTAGTTTATTATTTCATGACGTAACAATGATTGACAGTTAAGGTGAGAGTGTGAGTGATATAGTCACGAAAAGAGACAGCAGATAGCTGGACTGAGAGAGTATTTTGCCATTTTATACAAAAAAATTAACATTTTTAAAAATTGAAAAATAATCGTGTTTCGTTGACGCGCAACGCAAGCCTGCGCCCAATGTTGGCATGCAATTACTAATACTTCATGTTAAATCCATGTTTGGAAAATATAGGTGAGGGGTTGCTGCATGCACATAGGCCTATTAGGGAGTTTGGCAAGTACAACGGCAACGTGGCCATCATTCAACAATAGCATTGATCCCCAAAGACAAAGGCGAATGTAAATTACATGATCTTAAGCGTTGTGCAATGCCGTAGTTGTTGAAACTGGTACGTGACTTGCATCATTTTCACGGTGCATGACTACGGCAACAGTTAATTCGCTCGATGTTATTTGAGGTGTTTTATTTGCATTCGCGGACTATTTTTACTTAGGGCTGTTTGAGAGAAACAGGAATACTTAAAGAGGCAAATTAAGTGTAGTAATGTATATAATTTGGCTTTCGTAGGACGCGCATTCAGAAAAATTGATGCTGTAATTCTATAGGTACGAGATTGACCGTAAGAATTACCAAAGGCAGTTTTAACCTAGTGACATGCGAAAACACAGTTAAGAAAGGATACCAAATGAATTTTTAAACTGTAATTAAGCTATATGTTTATGAGATGAACGTGAAGCATTGAAACACTCGCCATAAAAGCGAAGAGTTTGATAAATAATTGAAATTTTTCTTTTCCATATCACGGCATATGAATAAATACAACGCCAAATTTTCAATGTTTCTTTTGAATAACAGTGAACAATTTTACAATATAAACTTCATTGTCAGGTGAAAAAACAGCTCAAGAACATGATTTACAAAAATGTAAAAAATCATATACACTGACTATATTTATCACTTACTTGGAATACTATACGTTTAGGGCACCAAGGTTCTGCTGAATAAGGAAATACACTTCCGGTAAGAACAAGTATTGTAGAAAGTAGCCAAACTCCAGTCAATGGTAATATCAATGGCTTTACATGACTAACAACGTGAACTAAGCTTATCTATCAAGATAAAAAAATCAACATATGACCGTTAGGTAATTTAAAAGGTCTTGTAGACACGCGGGAATTTTTTACGAAGAAAAGGCGAAAATGATGGTGGGCACTGGGCGATTAATAGACCTTATGCATAATGACGTCATAAGGCTTGATGCCCGCGAGGAATGCTGGTCTTAGTAGTTAGTAGTCATCGCCCGGGAAAATTTCGATAGTGGCCATTTTGAATTGTTTAATTTTCCCGGGCGATGACTACTAAGACCAGCATTCCTCGCGGGCATCAAGCCTTGTGACGTCATTATGCATAAAGTCTATTGATGCGGAGTACGTTTTTATTTAGCTGTAAAAAATTTGTCATCCAAAATGGTGGAAGTCAAACGATTACAACGCATGATATGTTGTGACGTCACTCACAAGGGCTGCGTATATTGGATGGCAGCAGTTTGCAGAAATATTTGTTTGCGAAATGAGTGCATGAACTCATTTCACAAACAAATCAGTTAGCAAATAGAATTATACGGTATATCCACATCATTGTTAAATTAGTGAGAACAACTTTTTGGACTCGATGAAATCGACAGAAGTTGTAATTACGCCATTACCAATTCAACTCAGTGCCAAAATGTAATTAACTGAGACCTATAAAATATTGTTCGTTTGAAGTTCCGTTATAAAATTGTGGACTTACCGAGTACGAAAGAACGACTAAAACGAAAAATGTAACAAAAAGTGATATCAATACTTCTGGAGGATCGTTCCCGCCTGTTCGACCAAATATAGGAATTATGAACTCCAAATGCATCCAAAACATATAAGACCATAACGTTAGTGGAATTGCAATTGATAAGAGATACATGATGACGAATGCGTTACAGTTTCCAGGAGTACTAGTCGAGCGAGTCTTTCCAAGACATATCTCCCATATAAATACACGTCCAAATAAAGGGAACGCTACCATCAGCATAAACAGATACGCTGAACCTATATTATAATAGTTCATGATTGATAGTAATGTGTTCCATAAGAATAAGGTTGCGTAAAACATGTGAGCTTCTTGACTCCATCTTTCCGGCCAGCTGGAAGTTTTCTAAACAGTTAGCGACAATGAAAAAAAAAATTAATAACTGAAAAAGTCGTTTAATACTTGATCTATAAAAAGTCGATGGAGCTTCTTACATCAATTTAATCTTATTTCCAAATATGGAAAATAGTTTTTGCAGAAAGTCACAATATTTAAGAAAAGAGATTATTAAATCTGTTGCATTCACAATCGCTACAAGGTTAAATTGGGTTCACAGTTAATCAAATTTATTCTCCTTTTGCGCTTGAAAGATACACCATCCAACTCTTCTTCTAGTTAGTTTAATTTATTTTAATTTAATTTAAACAACTGGATATAAATATTATTTGAAACGACCATATTGGGGTGACTTTTTCAGTTTTTCACTGGAAAATTGTTGAGACGAGGACAACAAAGAGAAGTCACGGATGACCAATTGCTCTATCTAGATAATATACGCCTTTTTTCACCAAGATTCACCAAGACCAAAAAAATGTATAAAAGTCTCACATGCAGTAGATCAAGTAGATCACGACAGATATGGCGTCATTAACTCTGGGATTGCCTGTGTACAGAGTTCCACTTTTTTAATATTATAAGCAGGGATGGATCCAGCCAGTATACCACATTTCGACCCTACGAACTATCTGACATTGATCAGCAGGTCTTTCTCTACCATATTCAAGTATCAAACCTTTTCTGTGGAGTGTGTTGAACGAAACTTGTGTTTTGGGAGACCTGCTCCCTGACCACAGGTCTTGTAGGAAGTTGTTCATCGAGACATCTATTACCTTTGGTCAAGGTTTGAGTGCGACCGTTCACTAAGTGAATGAATAATCAATATAGGAGCTAAGGATATCAACTTTTCAAATCGAAACAAAACCATTCACCGTTGATCATTCAAAGCCCTCAAATTGCACTTATTCTTCGAACGCATGCAACTTTGTAACACTCACTCATGCAAGATTTTGAAAATTATATTTGAAACCATGCTCTTACACCGGTCCTATACTCACATTTACTGTAACTACTACAAAAATAAAACTTTCGTTTGAGTCCATGCAGAGCTTGAAATAACGTTCAAAAATAGACCGGAAGAAAGTCCAACCAAAATTAAATTTGATCGGAAACTTTCAAATGCGGTCGGACATTTTTTCCAATTTCATTTTGATTCCCAGCATGCACTCATTGACAGAGATGCAGAAGACAGTTATGTCTTCCGGGTAAATTACGTCAAAATCAAACACTCTATTGTAGTGTCAAAATGCTGTACATATGATCAGCCGTAGGCCATGGTTAATAGAGGTGTGCACCGGATCGGATTGGACATTTATAATCAGACAATTGGCTAATGTTTAAAATCCGAATCCGACCCGAAATTGTCTAATCCGAATCCGATCTGAGTTTTGATAAAGAATTCCGATCCGATGAAACCTTTAATAAAATAAATTTCTCATTCAAGTGGAAATGTTTAACCAAATAAATATAAAAGCAAGAAATACATGTCAAGAAGCTGACGAAGTGACGTCTAATTGAATTATCAAACGAATAATGCAGCGACAACCGCGTTGTCGTGGATAATTAATTCATTTTATTTCGAATATCGAGGTCCGATCCGATTACGAAACAAGAAACAACTTTATCAATCCGATATGAATATTTTTGTTCCGAAATCCGAACGAATCCGATCGGATCGGATTTGCCCACCTCTATAATGGTTAACCTATTCTTTTAAGAAAACTGTTTGCTATTTTTTGTGCGGACAAAAGGTACGACCAATTTGGCATTTATTTGGAAAATGTCGGATGCCCGACCGCTATTTCTGGCTCTGCTGTGTTGTTAAAATGTGAATACCTTAAAATGAGTAGCTTGCCAATAGTGTATTCCAGATATGACTAACACCCCTGGCAGTACGTATATACCAACAAGTACATAAGGTTTGCAGTACCATGACAATGACTGACCACTTGCAGTAATCACTTTAGCAATAAGAAATACAAACAGGAGAGACAATAACCACGATAGGAGAATGTAGAAAAGAGCTTTGATAAATGATGTCACGTACAAGACTCCATTCGAACTATTTCTGGTAACTCCTAAATGAAATAAAAAAATATTCAGCTTTTATATTTTATTGCAGACGGGCATTGGAAAATCAGGCCTTAAAATATCTTTTACAGGACCGTCTGACAAAATGTCCGATGACTTGCAGTTTGGGTCGGACATATGTATGATGATGTCCGATGACCTTCAATTCAGTTTGGCTCGGAAATAATTCTGAATGACACAAATTAATATCAGCACAATGTATTAATTCCGAAAGGTAAATGTTGTAAAGATATTAAAGTCATTCTTATTTGTTGCCAAGCCTAAACTACCTTGCTTGTCTATAACAGCAGTACGACTTCGACAACTTAAACCCATTTTCCACTTCACCATTTTGCTCGCGCCACCCAGCGCTCAATTACATTAAAACAACATTTCCAGTTCACCTTTCATACATTACTATATGATTCTCCAATTAGCATACGGGCCTCTAGTCCTGGACTAGGGCACATTTTGATTTACGTCGGACAAACCTACAGTTTGGTAGGACACCAATACACTCGGGTCGGATAAACAATAAACCCCAGTTTCACTTAGGCCCGTTGCCTGTTTAATTATTAGTCACATTACGTCTTGCTCATTATTTACTGATCGTATTTGCTTACCTTTACCATTGGCATAAGTATCTTTAACCGATTTCTTCGAAAACTTTAGCACAATACAAACAAACGTTACGGCTGCGACGAGGCTATTCAAGATCCAGCCAATACGTTGAGGATACAGTACCAAATATAACCCCAAGAAATCATAGAACACCATTGCACCATGTTGGTCAGCACTGGGGTCAGCCACAAGAGGTGATTGAGATAAGCGTATAAGCATTCCCAAGAGGTTTTCTCCAGCACGTTGAACACTCCCCGGTGTGATGGCCTCAGGAAGATCACGTGTGGTGTGGTATACATAGCCGTTTGAAACATAAGCAATGTCAATACCTATACACACAACTATTATTTAGTAACGAAAACAAACGTAATTGTTGTGCTGTATTGTGGGGAATCATTTCGGTTAGCCTGCATGATTTTCATCAGTGAAATAAACTGTATATATCACGTATAGTATAGTGACCAGCGGATTTTGGCACTGCGTTCGCAAACCAAGTCAGTTTTCTTAAATTTCAAATAAACCAAATACCGGAGACAGGTTTCAACGTAGTGTTTGTGTACTTAGTTCATTTCCACAGGATTACGATTTACTGTACGAGCGCAATTCTTGCTAAATTGAACGGTTAGCATTTTTTAAAATTTGCTTCAGTTCATGTGATTTCCGGTCAAGAAACGTATCAATCAACAACCTTGATTACACCTCTCAATTTTCTGCAAACGTTGCCCAAAAATTAGGCATACTTCGAAACCCGGACCGGACTCGGACTCGAAGAAAATAAGGACTCGAGGAAAACCCGGACCCGGACTCGAAAAAAATCCGGACCCGTGTTTAAAAAAACCCGGACTTGACTCTTGAAAACCCGGACTCGAAATAGAAAAAAACGGATTCAAAACAAGGACTCTGTGTACGAGAAAGCAAAGGTTTTTTTGGAAAGGTTTAATAATTACTAACATGATAAACGATATGATCTCTTTATATCTTCATCTCGATATTTTTTAATCTACTGTTAACAAAATAATCACTTAGATATACTGGAACCAAAACATTTAGGCACTTATTTGAAAAACTAAAATGTATTTAATATGCATGCTTCTACAAGTAGCTATAATACGAGGGTAGCATGTTGATTGTCAAATTGATGATGATGAGTAGCATGTTGATTTATTGTCAAACTTCATTGTCGGTATTGAGCCGCGGTTGTATGCAAGGTATTTGGGGCAATTGATGAACGCATTGCCTAACGAGAGGGTCTCAATATCAAATTTATGCCAATCCACCCAACGCAAATTTCACTGTAGGCATTTTTAGGCTGCGGGTGCTGCGACACCTTTTTTGCTTCCACTTAAGGTTGCTTTCATTGTGATGTGTTTTCTACTATTTGTGATTAGGAATAATTGGGGGAAGCTTTGCGCTGCCGTTGCAGAGCATATAATACACGAGCATGTCCCATAGAAATAATAGATATCTATTTTTCTATGGCATGTCCCTCTCGCGACGGCAATGCAACAACTTTACAACTACTGCATTGCAGTCGCTAAAAAATTATTACCCGCGTCTACTCATGGTATTTAAGTTATATTATTATACATTGTAGTCACTATACGTATCTTCTGATTGGCCAATAGCTTACAGCAACTAACGGACTAATGTGTAGGTTGAGCCCGCAGTATGTAATTCAATACTTAGCAAGTGGCAGTTTTAAATACACGAACAAAAGCAAGAAAGCATTACATTTTCCGATTTTCGTGAATTTTAATTGTGCAAAAAGCAGACATTTTATCGGAACTTTAGTAGATAAATGAGATTTTTAATATTTTTATGCTGTTATTGTAGTGATGTTTTAAATCGTTTTCACTCCTTTTTTGTGAACCAAAGTCCACGTTGTTTTGTGCGACAAATCATTGTTTGTCGAAAGAGTTTTATATAATAACGTTAAGAATTCAATCGCTTTCGCAGCCATGATCTATTAGAGGACAGACGCACAGAATTACTGTACGTCACACGAAACCTTATCCAATAGCATTCCCTTATTTGTGTAGATCACGCACGCGTGATATTTGCAAAATTTCAACTTTTTCAAATTTCCAAATGTTTGGGTGCATAAAAAGTAAGCATGATAATGCGCGAAGAACAAAAAGTGACTCACGAGCCAAGAACTGAACAGACAAGTAGACAACGGCAAAATCCTATCTATTTGTTAAATACCCTGGTCAAACGGGGACGAGAGTTGATGTGAGTTGAGAAGAGTTGCAACACTCGCTGGTTCAAATTTTGATGAGAGTTTTCGCTACCCACGCATGCAGTCAACTCTCATCCTCGCTTGACCGCGGCTTTATTAATGAAAATGTAATGTGTTATAGAACATGATATTTTCTGTGTTGGTGCAATGTACTCAGGTGGATAAGATGCTTGTGATGTTACACTCAGAGTAACATCACAAGCCTCTTATTCACCTGAGTACATTACACCAACACAGAAATATAATGATTACCAGATTACGTTGATATCGAAGGAACTAGACTCAGTTCCTAAAAATATCACATACTCGAACCGACCTGACCGCATAGCTCAGTTGGCAGAGCATTGGGCTAGTATTCCAAAGGTCGTAGGTTCGATTCCCACCGTGGCCAGGCATATTTTTCAAGCCTGCCCGGTGTGGATATACACTCAGAGTAACATCACAAGCGTGTTATTGAACAGTTGTCGAGTTCGGTTCTTGAGACATCCCGAATTATCAAGGTCTCCGTAAGTGTTATCAATCTGGATATCACAAAAACCTCATCCAATAACTGTTTAATATTATTATCATTACTTTAAAACATGACGTAATTTACAAGTACAATATGTGGCTTGTATTACCTGGAATATTGCCATAATCACGAAAAATTCTGAAGTCAGTTTCAGCAGGAATTAAACCTGTTTGAAAAAACTCTTGACCAACAATGGAAGCATATGGGTAGTTGGCTGAGTTGGCGTATATCTTGATCAACCACGGATGTTCTGGTCCAGTTTGGAATACCAGTTCTCTTCCTCCTGCAAGGTACGAAAATATGAGCTTATAATCAGGATTAGGCCCAACAAAAAATACTCGCTGACTCCAGTTTTTCCCAACTGACTCTATCTTACTCAGCCATGCAACCAGGAATCCAGGATGATTTTATTGAAGCTGTCTGCTTAACCGCCAACCCCATATTTCTGTATCGCTAATCTAGTTATCCGTTCCTTACAGGTGTATGTACCACAGAATACCACGGTAACACAGAATACCAGTCTTACTTATTTCTTATATAAAATTTGAAGGGAATATCCTATAAACTTTATTTCTGTGATTATATATTAGTTTTAGTCTTAACTGACATAAAAAAAACAAAAATGTATATTTTCTTAAAAATTCTTAAAACTAATCAGGATTAACAAGAAGTAACATTCTGTATTTTTGGTACTTTTTTTTCGCATAATGCCTGTAAAATCCAAATGTTTAAAAATAAGTTCGCAAACCGGCATAATTTATGTTGATCAATACTTTGTCTATGCAACACAACATTATTACTATGTACACTGGAATCACATAGTGTAATCAATTTTACCATTGAATTTTTCAAAACTGAATTTTTCAAAATTATTGATAAACCTGGTATTCTTTGGTTATACCACTGGTATTCTTTACTGATTTTGGTGTTAACTTTCACTAAATTAAGTTAGCAATATCCCACAGTATTATCATACAACATGACACACCAAATCCTGGTACAATTTGATAAACTGTTGCTTACTTACCTCTGCACTGGTATTCTGTGGTACATCTCAAAAGGCCACATAAAAAAATTAGTTGGTTAGCGTCCTCGCCAGCCCACAAAAAAGTCCTGCTCAGGATTTTTTTATTTTTTATTTTGGAAAAAAACAACTTTTATTGACCAACAGGCTCTAATATATGTAGTATTTCTGTAGTCAATTGTGTTTAAAATAGAAAGAATATAAAGCATGCAAAAATGCCCGCCCACTTTTGGCAAAAGCTAAGGATGCTAACCAACTATTTTTTTATGTGGCCTAAATAATAATTGACAACTGAGTACGGGGCAGGGAAAAATACGCAATAAAGAGACTTTGACTTGGGGGGTGGATATTAACTCAGGGGAGGGGACAGAGAGGCATCCAACTTTGTTGGTAGCCTAGATTTGTAACCTACTGTAAGTATTATTCAAATTGTTCTCAGGGTAGGAATCATTACCTTAACCAATTCCCATGCAAATTTTCTTGAAGAAAATTTCTGTCAATCAGTGCCGTCTGACAAAATGTCCGATGACTTTTAGTTAATGGGTCAGACATATGTATGATGATGTCCGATGACCTTCAGTTCAGTTTGGCTCGGAAATAAGTCTGAATGACACAAATTAATATCAGCACAATGTATTAATTCTGAACTAAATATTGCAAAGATATTGAATAATTTGTGTCATTCATACTTATTAATTCCAAGCCAAGATTAACTTGCTTGCCAATAATAGCAGTATGACTTCAGTATTCCGCCCCCTCTCCGTGTTTGATGACTTTATTAAAAACAACATTTCCGGTTCATTTTTATACAATACTCTCACTGGTTCTCCATTTATAACATACAAGCCTCTAGTCCTGGACTAGGGTACATTTTGATTTATGTGCATAGAGCAAGCGTCAGACACAGCTACAGTTCGGTCGGACACCAATACATTTGGGTCGGACAAAGAATAAACCTCAGTTTTACTCAGGTCGGACAGAATGTCCGGCGGTTTCCTCTCTACATCAGACAATTTGACGAATGGGTCAGACAATGTCTGTGACCGACAGATAGTTTAAGGCCTGATGAAGGAAGTTTTCGACTGAGTGTGTAACATGGATGAAATACTCAATGCATCATTTTGCCCGCTTGGCTATGCCTTGACTTACCTGCACCTGCTGCCTCCAGGTTGACAAACACCCGGATGTCCTTTGCCCAACGATGCTGGGTAATAAAACCATGACTCGCCTGAAGAAAATTTTCCTCGGCACCATTGAATAAGAAAACCAGACTATGATTTAACTCAACATGTGCATTGGACTCAGTCAGACACCTGATTACCTCGAGCATTGTTGCACAACTGACTACATCATCACTTGCACCAGGTCCACCAAAAGTTGAATCAAAATGTGCATTGACTAAAATACTATGCTTTGCAGGGTATGTCTTTTTTGACGATATCCTAGCCACGACATTGGACACATTCTTATAGTAACTTGTCAAACCCTCTAAAAAATCCATAGAAAAACGTCCGGATGGCCTTTGAAGATCAATGTCAAGTATTATGTCATCGCGCTTGGCTTCCTGAAAGGCCCAAAGCGTGGTTAGAAGATATTCCACGGTCTTGTGTTCATTTGCAAAGCTTCCTGTTGGCCTATCCCCGTATGAAGTGATTTCGTCCAAGTGTTTACGGGCCCTCCACTCAGCAAAATCACCTTTATTCGCATTGACTTTCGTCTCTGGGACATAATGATGTGCGTACACAGCCAAGGAGAAAATTAGCACATGAAACACAAGCACAAGCAAACAATGGCCTAATGTCAAACCTTCGTATTTCACAGATGCCACGTGTCCGGTTTTGTCCTCGTAGGCAAAGTTGTTTTCAAGTTGTTCCCTTTTATCTTCTACAGTATTTCTTCGGCGCACATAGTCCGTCATTGTATAAAATCGGACTGAAATATGACGCCCTTTAAATTTGACAAATTGCACCTGATAATTCAAATTTCAAAGTCCAAAATTGCGAAATCAGTGCTAGCGCAATCTCGTACCCAGAGCAATGCCTGTGCGCGCCCGCATTAGCTCTGGGGAAATTGACAACCGGAACCCCTAAATTTAGGGGTTCCGGTTCTTTGTCGGCATGCACGATTGATAAACGTTAAACCAATCACAGCACAGGAAAAAATCAATTTCCCCAGAGCCAATGCCATACGAGATTGGTGCTAGCGTGGCCTGAAAACAGACCTACGTTTCGCACGCCCTAAAATTCGCGGGTCGGGTGCTAGCTGCGGGGAATAGTTATTTTCTGAATATTAATGATATGTATATATTATTCGCTACTACTAGGGTACCTGCAAGGTAGGGATTGCTGCGGGCATTAAAAGCAAATAGAACTACAGTAAACAGCACAAATGATATCAAGCACAGTGATTACTCGCAGCGACTAGTAACTTGTGAGCTGTAAATGGAACTGAGAAGATCTGAGAAGAAGCAATATATAGTGAAGTAGCAAAGACAACGGGTTAAAGGGCAATCAGATTCAGTGGTGACAGATATTAAAACTGTGCGTCTCAATGTCTCATTGACATACAGGTAAATTAAATCAGATTTCATATCAAGTCCGTTTACCACATTATATAGCCTATATACACAGATTTATCACACTAAGAAACCAAAACTTTATAAAAATATAGAAGTGACAGTGGCCAAAGTCCAAAACAAATGTAAGCGTAACATTAGACTTGAAAAAGCTTTAAAAGTTGTGTTCTGCGCATAAATAAAATTTAGTTCAAAACCCCCTCTCTGCACATATTAGGCTGCTGCTACGCTCGCTCGTTTCAGGCTCGCTCGTTTCGCAGCAATAAATACAGTAAAGCCTGATTGCTTGTATCTTGCTTCTAAAGTCAAAAATGAAAAATCGAGCACCGCCAATCGATGTGGAATATTGCTTAGATGTGGAATATTGCTTCATTCCGATCGGAAAAGTAATGACGGAGCCTTAAGGTTTTTTCAAAGAGCGTCGCCCCCTAACAACAAGAATATTAGCAGCGATTGGGGACCAGTTCCTGGTCCACAGATCCAACTTCACGGTTGACGCTCATGCGCACTGTACCCATCCTATTATTGACCGGTCAATACTGATTGTTTCATTTTGGAGCGGTAGCCTCCTAGCCTGTGAACACTCGCCCCCTCTCCAAAACATGCAGTGAACATGACCACACAACACGTTTTGTCACAGGTTTTGTGGACCGGCTGCGTCAGCACGTGATACGGTTTTGACCAATCGGCAAACAGAAAAATTGAATTTTGACATCAAGGTGGAGTTGGGTAAAAATCCCTACCAAGACAACCAAGTCCCTAAAAAATCCCAAGGTGTCCCGTTTCCCGAAACGAATACTGGAACAGAGTCAGCATCGTTGAAATAATTTGAAATAAATAAACAAAGTGGATCCCATGCATCCACGAATATCTGGATCCGATCAATATCAGGTTCAAGATAAAGACCTAAATTTTTTATTTCGCCCCAATAAATGATCAAACCACTAATGAAAACATGCAATAGATGACCCTTAGATGTACTAATAAATTCACAATTATTTCTCTGCTAGAAAGCTTTTTTCTATTTTGATATCATCTTGAACTGTCTGGCCAGTGTAGGCAGTGCTAATAACTGATAAACAAGCTTTCGTTGGTAGGAATGCAAGTCCCTTCGCCCAAGGACTTGGGAACCCTGCGGAGGACAGATTGCCAGCACCACGCCACCACCCCCGCAGCCCGCAGGCTCTAACCGGAAGTAAAAAAAAACTTGGAAAAGGGCCACGAACCGATAACACGTGGTCCCACGAAACGGACACGCATCGCTATTTTCCTCTCGCAGACTCACAGATCAACTTATCTGTTATAAAGATGGAGGAAAACTCGATGGATGGGCAGCCGTCTCGTCGGAAACTCTGTGCCTTTCAAGCTTGTACTCTGAAGGTTTTAAATAAAGACGGAGATTTCGCTAAAATTCACGACAGGCCCGTTGATGTAGTGGTATGGTCGGAGAACGGCACACAGTGTTCAATCGACATACGAGATGGTACGAACCTCGAAAATTTATCAGGATAAAATTTTATCAGATTTCTTGTATATGTTTTGTATTAAAGGTGATTTTTACCCCTTCTGTGCCTCTCTGTAGGCGATGAAAGCATTCTCTCTTTCTCTGTGACTCATGAAACGGGGCATTATCACGCGGGCGAAAGATTTTATATTTTCAACTTGAAGGACTTCTCTCCATTAATTTGTTTCCCCAAGAAACAAGGTATGTTGTATTTGTAAAATGTTAAAAATGATCTTTTTGGAATAGCTTGGTTGAAAAGGTGATGTCTGTTTTGAAAGCTTAATCTTTCCTGTGAACGTGTCATATGAAATGTGTTGAGCGCCATATTTTGAATATTTAATAATAAACATCCCTAGTCGTATTGTTTAACTCGTTATTACCTGCTATATATTTCCCTAATTTAATTTAGTCAGGTATTAAATTTAATTTGTTTGAGATTTGAAATTTTAATAGTCAACCTCTGCCCCATTCCTGGTATGTTTACATGGAGGAATACATGGTGACCACAGGGGGCACCCTAAGCGGTTAAAATAATGAATGATTTTATATGAAATAGAATCGCCCTAACATCAGAGCAGGTACCATTGACAATAGATTTAGTTGTGCTTTGTAGACTTGTTCTGTGATTGCTTAAATTCTCCTCTCTTTTTGTACCAATTATTTAATAATTACAGGTTCTGAGGCATTCCCCGGGCATTTGCACTTTTCTTTTGCCCGGGGGCCGGGCATTCGTACTTGTAAAGTTGTCCCGGGGGTGTGGAATTGTTTACTGGCCGGGCATTTGACTCGACCGGACGTTTCTGTGATGAACACATGCTTTTATATTAAAATGGCGTCAAAGAATTTGAGGGTAAAAACGAGGATTTTGTCGATATTTTCATTCACAAAACGTCACACCAATCGCACACAAGAAACTAATTAAAGTTTAGCCTGCGAACAGGCTCACTGGGAGAAAGGTGAGCCTGCACGGAACCATGCGTTTTATTCAATCATCCCCTTTTCGCATCTGCTAAACGCGAACCAATCAGCGTCGACTGCGATAAATAAACTGTCAACTGTCAAATTGACGCAAGGCGTGTACATTATTGTACAACGAAGAAATACTGAATATTAAAATGTATACATGTTATGTGAACAATAATACAAAGCATTAGCGGGCCGCACAATATATTACTCGGAAAAATATAGAATTCTTCAAATATTAAATAGATATCAATACACATACAAATATAAAGCCAAATAAAATACTACCATTGGCATTGAATGTACAGTAATACTTGTACTATGTGCGACTGAAAGAACAATGTTCTGAATATTTGAAGCTATTACTAAAATACGGTCAGATAGATTGGGGTTTGGAATACCAAATACGTCTAAAATTTTACTAACTGTGGTCTAAATAAATGATAAATGAGCATGTATTTATTAATTTCTTTGAAATCACGAGTGTGCCAATAGTGGGAAGCCGTATCGACGACGAAATTGTCAGCAGTTTATACAGTTAATAGTACAACGTTTAATGTACGATATATATTTATCTAAATGACATGCCAGCGAGGATCAACAATATAATTATTCGTACATATTTGGGTATCTTTTGTATGCCTTCGCTTGCTGACTTGCTCACTAATGAGAATAATCCGTGAAGCCACGACGACCCCAAAATGTAGTACTATAGTCTGATGTCAATCCGAAGACGAAGTTCAGAATACTGTTATAGTATTGAATTTAAGCGATAGATTCAAGTCATTTATGATATACTTTTTTGCTGTGATGCTTTGCTATTGCTTTTGGTTTCCATTTCTAGTGTTATTTGTTCGATAGTCTTATAATATATAATATAATATTAAAATGAATAAAGTTCAAATTCTTCAAAATGCTGTTGTTGACATTTGCTATTTTTAGTAATTTTGTCAACGAGTGTAAGCCAATCAGAAGCCTGCGTTTCTATACGAACGCCACTACCAAGAAAACCTATAGTTCCGTGCAGGCCCTCTATTCTTTGCGCCGCCTGCAACCCAGGGCCTGTTCGCAGGCTAATTAAAGTTGTGTTTAACTATCTAGCATAAAAACACTAGAATTCATAGTACAATCCTTGTTTTATATCTTGCTACATTATTGTATATTAACCACTGAACCGACAAGCACGTTTTTCATGTTCAAAAGTTGGGATGACTGCTGTAGCTTTTATACAGGGAACCTAATACTGTTATGGATGTTTTGAGGTCTAAAATACATTCTATAAATGAGTCAGTGTGCCCTGGGGCCGGGCATTTGTCATCTATCTTTTTTTTTCCCAGGGGCGGGGTATTGCCACGCGTTTCCTGCCCGACCCCCGGGAATTGTCAACTTAAAGAAAAAAAGTGCCATTCCCCCGGGGGGATGGGCAAAGAATTGACTGATGCATAACCCCCTCCCCTCTGCACAGAACAAGCCTGTGATGTGGGAATTGATGGACGCTGGGTGTACTTAACCTATTGAGTGACAGTGTAGCATTCTCCCATTGATGGGTTATAAATATTGTCTGGCATAAGACAGAGTAAAATGATAAAGTATGGCGCTTCAGTACGATGATATTGATATTCCCTTCTATATTGTTTGTTGGAATATTGGTGAATTTCCATATTGGTGCATCACTAATATTTTGAAAGAATTTCAACCACACTTTGCTTTTTCCACATAATAATGTTAGAACTTAAAAATAACATGAGAATGTTTTTATTTTTTTTTTAGATGTAATATATTTTAAACGAGTTATATCTGATAGTACTGGTACCTCTAAGGAATCAATGTTTTCAGAAAGGACTGAGGAAAGTTCCGCTGTACAGTATTTCCAGGTAGGAATTTGTAGGTAAACAAGATAAGATTCTTGACACAGTTGGCATGAACAACAAATTCACAAAAACTGCTCCCAACACATATTAGTCTAGGACCTGTATATGAGTTTGTATGCGATTCATTTAGGACAGGTAATCTCAACTGTTTTATGGTAAAATTACCATGGCGGTCAACATGGCATATGTGCGAAAACCTGAATCCGGGACGAAAGTCCTGAAAATGACCCCGCCCTGAAATGGCAGTGTCGACATAGCTCTAACTTCCGAAAAGGAAAAGCGATAGCCTTTCTGAAGTGCTTATAGTGTTTAGAAGGGTTGCTTT